CCAAACCAACCAACACCACCGTCCCCAAACCACCCCCCCCTCCTCAACCCAAACCCCCTCCACCAACATCCCCTCTTCTTCTCAACAACAGCAGCAACAACAACAAATAACCCCCACCCTCCGCAACCTCCACGACACGCCCCCTCCCCCAGCGAACCAGCAGAAGACAAAATCGACTGGACGCGATCCTTCCACGGCCTCAGCGCGACCCCCTTCCCCAAAGAATGCGCCGATATCCTCCTCGCACCCACAGACCCCAACGAAGTGGAAATCAAACCCGATGGAATCCTCTACCTACCTGAAATCAAGTACCGACGGATTCTCAATAAGGCGTTTGGGCCTGGTGGGTGGGGACTTGTTCCTCGGGGAGAGAGTATTGTGACGCCGAAGATGGTGACGAGGGAGTATGCGCTTGTTTGTGTGGGACGGTTAGTATCTCCTTTTCTAGGTTGGGGGTGGGGGGGGGGGGGGGTTATAGGGTGAGGAAAGGCTAATGTGGTGAAATGTGTAGGCTTGTTTCCGTTGCTCGGGGCGAACAGGATTACTTCTCGCCCGATGGTATTCCAACAGCTACGGAGGGATGTCGGTCGAATGCGTTGGTTCGGTGCTGTAAGGATTTGGGGATTGCGAGTGAGCTCTGGGATCCGAGGTGGATTCGGAAGTATAAGGCGCAGTATACGAGGGAGGTGTTTGTGGAGCATGTGGTTAATAAAAGGAAGACGAAGATTTGGGTGAGGAAGGATGATCAGGTTGGGTATCCGTGGAAAGAGACGAAGTGATCTATCTATCTTATTTCTCTACGGGGTTAAAGGTGGTTTATCTCTACTGGTTGAAGATGGGTATGGTGTGTATTAATGTACCATAGATTTAACCTAACTGCACATGTATCATAGTAATACATCATAGAAATCAATATTCATCATCATCATAGTCTATGCTCTACCGTCGGGGAGCAAACCGTCCCGGCTCGGACTCCGAGTGTGGCGTCGTTCGAGTCGGCGACGGATACTCGCGCGGCTCGGTCGGTTCTAACGTCGATGGCAGCTCAAATGGCTGGTTCGGGTCGTACGGGTCTTCCGCGTCGTAGTACTGTCCTGGGTAGTTGTAGTACTCGGGCGGTTGACTGGAGGATGTTCCGGACATGGGCTCGACTGAGCCGGCGGATGGCACCCGTGGCAAGCTAACGCGATGGCGGGGAGGCACTGGCTGAGAGAGCACAGGCACGTCGCCTTCGGGGGAGACATACGAGGTGCGGCCCTCCTTGCGACGACCCGTCGATGGCTCGCGCGTCATCAGTCCGTACGTCACGTTGAGCTGTCGCTCCTGGCCGGGCGACCCCACGGGCGTCTGGTATTGCTCCGCGTCGTGGCCGTCGCGCGATCCGTCCTGCGAGCGGGTGGCGTGCTCTACGGTGAGACCCTCGCTGTAGGAGCTGTATGCACCTGTTCCCCGGTGTTGCAGAGAGTCGGGGAGCGGCCAAAGTCGAAGCCGGTTGATCGGACTCGCTAAAGGGTACGCCGGCTGTAGTGTTGGCCCGTCTCACGCCTTCGCTGGCAATTGAAACCTGGCGGACGGGAAGGGTCTGGTCCTCGAGGCCGGTGTCCGTCTTGTCGTCATCCTTGGGCTCGTCTTTGTCGTCGTCGTCGGCACTGGCACCCGGGGCGCGGATCGGCACCTTGCGTACGGCAGTAATCAATGCACACATGAACTTGGAACGACGGGCCGCGCGGACGGCCTCGTTCGACCAGTTGGACTTGTGGCAGATCAATACGCTCAGCTCCATCTTGTCCATGTCGCCTAGGCCTACCACATCGATGGTGACTTCTGGCTGGAAGTCGCGGCAGTTGTCCTTGTCCCGGACGAAGGTCTCCATCTCCTCTTGGAGTTGCTGGATGTTGGTGAAGGTGGTGGCGAAGCTGACGGAAATGGTGAGTCGCTCGTGCATGGCGTTGGCGCGGGTGAAGTTGTCGATCCACAGCGTATTGAGGACGACGTTCGGGACTTGTGTCATGCGGTGGTCGTTGACGTTCCGGAACACGGTGAACAGCAAGGAGATGCGCTCGACAAAGTACGGCTTGTCGCTGATTTCCACGCGGTCGCCTACGTCAAAGGGATGCTTGACGAAGAGGAAGATGCAGGAACCAAGGACTTCCTGGGCGGTGGTCGAGAAGACGAAACTGAGGGAGAGTAGCGAAGTGGCACCCGCCGCGATGACGGTACCGAAGCCAGTCGTCACGAAAGACACAAAGACAAGAACCGCGATAACACCGGCAACGGTCAGCAAGAGGTTGTCCAAGACGTGGATCGCCTGGTCGACATCGTGCAGACTGTTGTTCAGCGACTTTCTCATCCGACGGACTTCCCCGACAGCCAAGATCATCTCTTCCAAGCTGATGTCTCCGTTGCCGTCGCGATCCAGCATGGCGAAGCATTCCTCCGCCTCCGCCTCCATGCCGGCTCCGAGAACCTCGCAAATATCGTCAAAGTACAGCGCCTCACGGCCTTCGATGACGAAGGACATCCAGATTCTGCGTGCGAGCGCCTCGGCCGTCCGTCGGTGTTCCATAGCCTGAGTAACCACGGACCGGGTGGACGTGGGGTTGAAGACTTGCTTGCCGGTCAGTTCATGGGCCACGTCTCCAAACGCCGCCGTCACCTTGTTGCCGAAGTGGTGAACGTTCTGGCCTGCCGCCCGAATCATGCGAAGAGGCGCCGATGAGGAACCCGTACGCTTGGTCTTGGAGGCCGCGGTACGAAGGAGGGAGTCGGAGATGGCAGCATCCTCCTCGCGGAATTCCTTGCAGTACATGGGAAACATGTGGCGGGAGGCGTCGAACAGTAGTCCCACTAGATACACATTGCGCTTGGATTCTTTGATCCGGGCGTCGAACTGCTTGCGGTGGTAGCTGATGGAAATGAGGTGCACCATGGTCTTCTCAGCGAGGAAGATCAAGCTGCAGACGAAAAGGGCAAACAGGATGTTCTTGATGGACTTTTCCCACGATTTTGTAGAGGTGTCACCCTTGGCTTTTTGATGAGGGTTTTGTGTCATGACCTACAAAGTTAGTCGACGCCCACACGATCGAGGATAGACCTACTGGCAAAAATGTGACCAAGCACACCACACACCAAAACACGGTCGCAATCGGCATTTCGAGTTTCCGGAGAATCAGAGCGTACTTGCGAGTGCCCGAACTGACGAAGCCGCAGAGGGCCTGGAAAATGTACGGCAAGATCATTGCGGCCAGCTTGCACAACCACAGACTGACCCAGACAATCTCAATCCAGAACCAGAACCACGGCAGCGTCACACCACCGATAGTCGCGTCCTGCGCGACCGTGGCGCCCACGATGATGGGAATAGCAAACAACAGTGCAAGAGGTGCCACATAGATAAAGTACCGAGTGATGACGGAGTAGTTGAGAATCGCCTGGTAGATCAGGCCCATACGTGTGACGGTGCCATCTTCAGGATCTTCAAGCGAACGTCCCGTGCTCTCGTCAATTCGCCTGCGCATACCTGGATTGGGCGCGACCAACCCATCCTTCTCGCCAGTGCCTTTGTCATTCCCAGGTGGTTGATACGGGTTTGGCGAGCCATCTATGTTGCTACTCGTTTTGCGAGCGCCGGTCTGATTCCGGCTGGGGACCGGATTTAAAGGGATGTCAATGGTGACGTCGTTAGGATTCGCCATGTCGGGTGTCATGTCAGGAAGCTGCTGGAAGCGATGCGCCGACAGCCGCTTCTCCGTTATACCAGGTCTTCCGGACATGAAGGTTGGAAAGGGCATGGGGGATTTTAATAAGAGAGAAGGACTAAAACGAGGCCAGAAGCTGCCCTGCAGCTCTAATTAGCGAGCAGTGTCGCGATTGGTCGGAGAAACTTCCAGGACGTAAGATCGCTTTGCACAGTCCAAGCAGGATCTGACAATCACTGGCGAAAGAGGGCGAGTCCACCGGTTCGTGTGGAGAGGAAGTGGGTCGAACAAAAGTAAAACGGTGTGGACTGGACTAGGACTTGGAGATCAATTCGACAGCAGTGCACGAGTGTTTAATGAAGCTAGTGACAAGCAGCAAAAGAAGGAAAGGTTGGCGCTGAAACGAATGCGAGCTGTCGAGGGATGGCCATGAGCTGTGAGCAGCGAAGGAAAATACAGCCAGGCATAGGAATGTGCCGGACGCGACTGTCAGAAAGGACCAAGAAGAGGGGAGCACCCACGCGAGCATGTTTCAGTTTTGGCTGAACCACTGAAGTCACGGCTTTGCAATGATGGAGTCATTGGGGGCTGGACTGGCTGGAATCCGCCGATCATTCCCAGTCCCATTGTTGTTGTGGTCGGATTGGCACTCGGGGGCGCTGCTGAACTGAAATGTTCGTCGCCATGAGATAATGGCCGCGATTATAGGCTCGGTAGCCCTATCAGCGTCCCTGAAAGCGATCGATCTTGAGTGCGAGGCGAGATGTCTCCACCAGTGCGAGGATTCGCCGAGGGAGTGTTTGGGTCCAGTTGCTTTCCCGGTCGGAGTTGGGCGGTGCGCCATGCCCTAGATAATTCCTGCTTTGGGTCACTAGGGCTTTTCTTCCACGGGCCGCGACCGTTGCTGTTCCTTTGTCCTTTCAGGGGCCGGCCTTTCACTATCCCCATTTCCCTGGTTCTGTTACAGCCATCCATCAGGCACAAAAGAAGGATTTGGGTTGCAGCTCAATTTCAACCCTCGCTTACCATCCCCCTTCAGTGCCGTGTGAACCTTGTAAGGCTGCCGTCCAGGGCCACTCTCGCCCCTTAATCTGTCTCAATTTTGTTGAAACGTTGTACCTGTCAGCCGTCAGACGCTAGCGGCGTCCCTGGCGATAGTGATTAGTGAGATCTAAGGTTCATGCTGTGTCCACTGTCAGAGACTGCAGTCCAGACTTGTCGTCTCATCAAGGAGAACCAGCTGGGATTTTCAAGGTCTTGTATTGGCTACTACGGAGTAATATGAGAAGTCTCGATGACTACGACCGCAGGTCTAGACCATCTCCACCCCCATGAATCTCCAGCAAGATTCGATCAAAGCACCAGATGATCTATCTGCGGAAATTTCGGAGTTTTCGAGTCTGGCATAGATAACGGGGGATGACGGAAATCTGACAGGTAGCCTGTCGGGCGTTTCAGGATGGCTTTAAAGTTTTTAGTCTCCGAGCCAACCCGCCACAATCCGTCTGTTGCTGTTGCTGACTTGAACAGCATCAAGGACCAAGTAAACTGAGTTCAATATAATGTTGTCGTACTGGCAACCGACACAATAGCTGCTATCTTAGCTATCTCCCGAGTCTAGAGGCCAATGGTCGATGCTACGGTTAACCTACACTGCTGTAGCCAAGTTCTCCATGTATAGTATCCCGAAACCGTTTTGCAGTACGGTATACAAGACAACAGATGTCTTCTTTAGCAGCTGCCGGTATATCCAGATCAGTAACTTTAATGCAATCAGTACATTATTTCAGCAAGTTTGTTATCTCAGTATACAACGACTACATCAGTGTGATAATTTCCCTATTTCAGGGATATCGCTGCCTTGTCTGACGCGACCAATATGCCTTACCCTTACTACCATGATCTTATTCATCCTGTTAAAGATTCTACCGGTAAAGTCCGGTTCCTGCCCACTCTAGTCGGATGCCTTTAAGACTCGGTACGATGCATCTTAGTCTTGCATACCAGGCAGGACTCAGAAACCGCGTCATTTGTTACACGACAGAGGTACCACTATGTTATTATTCCACACCGAAGTGCCACTAATAACCCTGCCCCCCTAGTACTACTTTCCATACCTAGAGACATAACCGACCCTAGGCACAACACTACTGATATATGCTATACGGTAACGTTAGCAGAAATCGACATTAAACACCAATAAGGATGAAACAACCACTATCAACCATTTCAATCGCCTGGATGATTGTCCCAATTGTAGTGTAGCATCCATATGGGATAAAATGAAATAAATGAAAGTTCAAATGTAGAAAGAACCAGCATTTCCTTTGATCAAGATGCCTCATAAGAGTAGATGTGGATATGCGACAGCACTGATAGCACTTTGGCAGTATGGTTCAAGAAATGGAGCTGGGAGTTGGGTCTGGCCCAGCTGCCTCTAGAGCATGTATTATGGGAAAGGTTCAAGGGATGGTGTGAGGGATCCTTGGGAAGTATGAGAGTTGTGGTATGACTTTCTCGGTTGATGCTGGGTTTTGGCTGTTCTAGCTGAGTCCCTTGGAGGAGGGGGGGATGATATGTCATCGGTGTCTTTTGGTTCCCAGGTGGATCGTGGCTAGGTTGCCGGGAACAGGGGGGAATTGTGCTTGTAGCCTAGATAGATCGGTTTGATCAGGTCAGAGTTGTTTCGATGGTACTTGTATGGGGTATGGTCTGCTCGTTCGCATGGAGATGGCTACTTCAAGAATAAAAATTCAATCAGCCGTAGGTGATACTTGGCAGCACCATGGAAGCTTGTAGCGGAATATTTACATAGACACAGGGGATTAGGGGGTGGTGGAGAGGGGAGGAAAGAAGGAAGAGAGAGATAATCCATTGGCAAATAGGGATGAAGGCGAGACACGCCTCAAGTATATGATATAAGAAAAGTATGACAATATCTTTTCAACGAGCATTCGACTGGGATTGCCTGATCTTTGAGAGGCCTTCTGATCTACAGAAGAGTCGATATCAAAAATGGGTATTCTATTCAACACTTCATAAGAAGCAGAAACTGACTTCTAATCACTGCAATCATAACTACTCTCACCCTCATAGTCATCGCTGTCATCGTTCTCATCACTGCTCTCTTCCTCGACTGCACCAGATTCATCCCTATTATCCAGATCGACATTTTCCTTTTGATCACTATCAATATCCTCACCGTCGACTGGACCATAAGTCCTAGCAATGCGTAGAATGTCTTCCCAATCAACATCTGCGGGCACCGGGGTTTCTCAATAGTCTGCTTTGGTCACCAGATAAATGAAGGATTTTAACACCCCTTCCCATCCATGTTTCTCCATGATCTCTGGGCCTGCCAAAAGCCATGTATGCCATCATTTCTTGGTCATCGCGGATTGGTTGTAGAATCCCATACTACTTAGAGCTTCAGTGAATACTGCGGAATATCCATCGTTGTCCAAATGCTTCCATATCACACGCAATGCATCAGATTTCATAATCATGGGGATTTCCATGTTAATATCCAGGACGTCGGATATCAATGCCATATTCACCAAATGGGCTTTCTTCCAAGATAACTTCCCAGAGTCTTCGAACTTTCTCTTGAGATACTCTATGAGACCCGTATTTTGACAAAGCTCAGTGCGAATTTGATATATCAGCGGGACTTGGGACTTGACAAGTATGACAATGGTCCTGACACAGTCTTCTTTCATAAATTCTTCAACTGGTGGCCACCCATAGATTTCTTGTCTTGGCAAAGAGTTGATGACTCTCGGTAGAAATTTCTTGAGGAGACCTGCATTGTTGCTACAACAGGCGGCAGACAAGGCACTCTCATGTTTGCCATGAGGGATTCTGGCATGAATATCAATAGTGGACGTGTTGAGAAGTATATCAATGGTGATTTCCCTGTCTCCTAGACTATTGTACCAGAAAGATTTATTTGAGTCACATGCAGCAATCAGTGCAGTTCCATAATGACCAACAGATGACTGAATATTGACATTGATATTGGGGTGATCCAGTAGCAACCGTATGATGTCCAGATGGTAATAATAACATGCAGCAATTAGGGCGGTACCAAAATCACCAATAGACGACTGCCTATTGACATCAATGTCAGGGCGGCCCAGTAGACAACGTACTGTTTCAACACAGTTCCAAGCGCATGCAGCAATTAGTGCAGTGCCGTAAAAACCAACAGATGCTTGAAGATTGACTTGTAACTTGGGTTGTTGGAGAATTAATGTTGCTATTCGGTCATCCTCAATGCAGCAAGCACGGATTAGTGCAGTACCACCACTGCCCAGCATTGATTGATTGTTGACATCGATGCCCGGGTTGTTCAAGAGAAATCGCACCATATTCTCGTTCTCTGTTTCAACAGCAGCGATTAATGCATTTCCATACGGCCCGATTGTTGCTGATTGGTTGATATCGGCTCCCTTGTCCACGAGAAGTTCAACAATGGATGTATCGTCCTGAAGACTGTTTACCACTGCGGCAATCAGTGGTGTTCCATGGCCGTCCTTGATGCTCTGCCTTTCCGATGTGAAATTAACATCTGCTCCATTGCGGACCAGCCATCTGATGAATGGTAGATTATAGACATTCATGTTCGTGGTAATGAGAGCATGATTTAGATCCAATGGTGATCCCAAAAGATGGTCGTACCCGTCACTGCCATCCATTGTGTAGTTCAGCAGCAGATGGTTTATCAACTGTCCGTTCGACTTGCTCATGTGCCATTCTTCGACAGCCAATAGTACAAGTGTGAACATCGCCATTTCCTCTCGGTACCTAGCACCAGAGTTGTTGAAAAAAAAGGAACAGCCTTGCACAGTTAAATTTCTTGGACGCCGACCGGATAGAACGGAATCCAAGTTTAAATATATCATCATAGTACGGGAGTGATAGAGCCTCGGTCAAAATGCGCAGGGTGGTCTGCAAGTCGTTGAGGTCGATGGCTGTTTTATGATATGGGGTGCCGGCCCATTGAAGGGACCTCGCTCGTTGCCACGGTAAGAGATGCCAGAGAGCCACCAAGAATAGTCCGGTGGTCAGCACCGAAAGGAGCTCAAAGGTGTTGGCTTTTGGATTGATGTGTTGGAGGAGCTTGAAGACACCCTCTCTCAGATCGCCAGAGGCTTCCATTCCCATGCTCGGATTTTCAAGCTTCATGGTTGTTGTATACTGTTTTGCGTTGTTGTGCCATTCTGTTGGGTGCCCTCGAGTTGCTGATTTGACCTTAGAAAAGCACGCAGTGACCAGATGCTGCAAGATAACATACTCCCCTTGATATATGTCTTTGCTCACATTGATGTTCATGTGTTGAGAAGGTCGCAGCCAGAACTGTGGCGCAAAGATAAACTCAAGCAGCTTGTCAACATATAGGGACTCCGTAGTTGAGCCTTCGATTGCTCGCTCACAGCTTTCGATCAGGGCCGCTGTGATATCTCGAGACAGATGTAATAGCCATCGTGTGCATCCCCGTGAGCGTGGCTCGTGAGCAACAAAATCCTCGACGAGCTGGTTGACGTTATTATCAAGCGATGCAAGAGTTGCGTATCTCCACCAATGCTCATATGCGTATTCCCAGCGGTCATCTAAATTGGACCTTTTTTTCCCCGGATGGTGACTTGAATGGCTAGGTGGCCAATCAGGGAGGCCATTTTCCCATATATCAAGCCGGTAGTCATGGTAAAGCAGCGCTCTGAGACAAACGGTAGCTGCGAAGACCTGGCAGTTATTCACCCTTTCCTCAGAAGTTTCAAAGTACTCTTGCACAGACAAGTGGGGGAACCGGACGGAATCCCCTTCGACTACCATTAGGTTCTGGCAGGAGCCGAGGATACTGTCAATATCCTGAATTTGATCCTCTAGGTCTGTAATGACCCCCTGTTCACTGCCAATATTCACAGCAGCAACCAGGACAGACGTCTTGCATGTTCCTCCAGCCGCCTGCAACCAAGAGAACGCACGCAATGCACTTTCGCCTGATGTATCAGACCTGATTTGGCTCATCAAGCCGCTGTATGTATCCTCGAGACCCTTGGGCAGTTGGGTAAGTGCTGCCAGAATGCCAGCTTTACTCTTCTGAGATAAGATATGCGCAATGTGCATTGCTGCCCATTGAAACCTGGTTTTGGTTAGTACAAACGTGGCTTGACTTTGACATGATACTTACATCCCCTCGCTCTTCTCCAGAAAGGTATCTATAATCTCTTCCTCCAGCTCTTGGACGGACCTTTTCATTACATCACCATGATCCTTGGAATTTCTGAAGGAAGCGATCTGTTGCTGAACGAATCCATCAATGTCGTCTTTGTTATCGGTCGCCGTAACAGAGATGGTGGGATACTTCTCAAGTCGCGTGTGAATAATGTGCTGATCCCGACTGGAAACGATGACTTTCAACCCATTACAAAACTTTAGTAACCGTTTGAACGTCTTAAGCAAATACTTCTTGGATTCCTCCGAGCATTCGTCCAACGCATCCAGAAAAAGAACAACGCTTCCATTTCTTTCAATGACTTGTCGAAGAATCTTTACGATCTCCTTCACATAGACGACACGGGTGGGCGAGTCAATTTTTCCCTTGGCGTTGTACAATCCTTCGATGCTCCTTGGAAGCGGATCGCAAGATGCTGCCAACTGCTTTGCAAGGCTTCTTAGAATTGTTACACTGTCTCTGCGAGATTCCTCATATCGACGGTAGTAGAAGAGCGCGATTCGGTCCGTTGCAGTTCGCTCCTCCCCTTCGGAGGCAGCTCCGGTAGATACTTCCTCCTTGAACTTTTCTACAAGGATGCTCATGAGTTTGGTCTTTCCCGCTCCAGCTAGAAAGTCATTCAGTTCCTCATCCTGGCCTCTTGGTTGGGAAACTTACGTATGCCATTCAACCATAGGATCCGGTGATTCCTCGAGGTTTGCCACGATCTGAATTCTTGTCTTTGGAAAATCCATCCTCCCGTGCCTTTGGCAAGACCCTTTTTAGCTTCGTGGTGTTGATCTTCGTAAGGAAGATTTGACAACCAAGCAAGCATTTCTTGGCGTCGCTTTTCTGCGCTCTGGACTTGGTTGCTCAGTTTGAGGAGTTGTCTCATTAACTCCGTATTGGACTCCAATATTCTGTTGAATCCGTCTTGTGAACTAATTCGTGAGTTGGTGGCCGCCTCTTGCTCCAGATCCAACTGCAACTGGACGGTATCTTTATCGAATCCAGTCACTGCATCGGAGTTCCATATAGAATCCCATGTCCGGTGGACGCTCCCCTTCTCGTAGTGTTCGGAAATCAAGACCTGGAAGGTAAGGACTCGTTCGTAGAGCTTCACCAGGCTCTCCTCAAAATTCTTCATATTGATGTCGTGATAGCCATCTTGGGGCTGCCGAATTTCGTGCTCATACACTAGTCTTCTGCTCATGACAATGACCACCTTGCTGATACCTTCTACTGCAGCAGATGTGACCTTTGCTTTTGTCACGGGTATCTAAAGACCGTAACCCCAGATGCAGATGTCAGTTGATCGGCCATGCGGCTTCACACTTGGCCCCAAAGACGTACCGCAAGAAAAAACTTCGCAATTGACCAACCCAGATTTGCGTTCGCGTCCACACTGGCAGCAACATCAATAACCCCTTTGGCCTTGTTCAAGACACTGATTGCGTTATCCCATAGTTTATGGATAGCAATCTCCCGTGCACCTACTGAAACCTTCCACTGCTTCTTTTCGTAGTCGACTTTCGAGTTTTGACAAGCCTCAAGGACCTGTTCTGGCCATGTCTTGCATTTTTCTGTCTTACCCTCCAATATCACTCGTTGTTGGATGTCAATTTCCAAGATTTTGTGCAACTTCTCCTGCGTCTTGAGTGGAAGACGTTCACGCGCTCTGTCTTAGTAAGATACACCGGGCGCGCTCCGTCCGTCATGTCCCATGGTGTATGTGTCTAGTCTTGTGATGCGATACCTATCTCTTTTCTGTATGACGATAAATAAAGTAGAGATATTGAGTGCACAATGTACATCGTCAGGGCTTCCGGAATAAAATGGTTCTTGACATCAGGCCATTTTGTTGCCGGAAGACCCCTCAGACACGTCAGCCACAGCCGAAACAGCCCAGCTCCGGATTTAGTTCCCCTCACTGCTTCCTGTCAAAGGAGTCTTCGTCATGCAGTAGTGCGGCGCTTCGCCCACAATCATTGGTCGTGGAAGTGTTGAATCACGTGAAGTCGGTGCGCCGTTGGACACGTGATGAGTAACTTATCAACCGTGCAACTGATAGAGTACATCTCCATATTTTCCATGCATGTAGGCTTCATGGTCCTTGCGGAAGTATCTGTTGTCGATATGTACTTTGAGGAGCAATTACTCGTGGAAGCTGAAGGATATATTACCATCCCAGTATCGACGGAGACTGCTGGACCACTCTGAGTAGGACTTGAGATTTGAATCAACGAAGATGCAAGTATCATTGAAGGTGACTAGACCGGGGGTGGGAGAAGAAGCTGATGGTATTTAGTACCAAAGCCCGATACTGGTTCGGCAGCCAGCCTCGCTATCTTCTTGGCCACGGAGTGGTTGAATATTGCCCTGAGACGGCTTTGGGGATGATGAATATCCCCGGAGATTGCCTTCGTATTTCCCAAAACAGAATCAACATAGGAACACAGCAACGTTTGTATCGTATCGGTAGGATTGAAAGGTATATAGCGATATATCTGTCCTAACTTATCACACATGTCTCATAATTTGTGGACATGATTTCTCGATGGCCGGCAAACCCCAATGTACCATCCAGTCCGAACGTAAAACATCCTGGACTGTTGCTCGTTCCTCCGGTTTGAACACCAGCATAGGACGAAGCATATCCAGAATAGCTCTCTTCTCTTCATCGCTGAAGCAACACATTTTATCTCTCCGTCGCGACGCCTGCACATACTTCTCGAAGCTCTGCTCAAGACTCGGGTAAACAAACCGACCTTTCTTTGGTTCTCCCGACTCTTCAAAGTATTCGTGTCGCGCCTCCCACGAGACCCACCATGCGCGCGGCAATGGCCCGAGGAGATTTATCTGCTGAGAGTCCATATAATCTAGCGTAGCAAGTGTGGCGTCGAACAGCGAACGCAACCCAAAGATAGACCACATGGCACATGCAAGAGTCCAGATATCGGTGGAGAAGGAGAGTGGCTTGGTAGGTTCAAAGTAGGCTTCGGGTGGTGCGACGGGAAGAGGGGTGTGGCAATCTTCACCAAGTCGTTGATGTTGTGGATTAGAGGGAGAGAAGCTTTCACCGAAGTCGCTGAGGGGAAGGTAAGCTTCTTCAGGAGGGATCTCGTTGGCTCTTTTTCCTAGCCAGACTGGCGAGGTTCCGTGGGATGGGACGCCGGGAGGGAGAGGTTGGTTGTCGAGTCGTATTACTGGTTCTGTGTATGGTTTGCCAAACTTTTCATAGAATTGCTCAACTGAGAGTTCGTCGAGGCTGGATGAAAGGCGGAGTAAAACGTTTCCGAGATGAATATCTAGAACATGAGGTTAGCAATGATTGTCATGATGCACATCCCTACTAATACAAAAAGCAAACCAACCCTTGACTTACCTCCATGGACAACACCCTGGAAATGAAGGCATGAAACAGCCAACACAAGCTGAGCAGCCAGAACACGGGCAGTTTCTATTTGGAAGCGACGGCAGAACATCGCTGCAGATACACTGCTCTGAGCGGGGGCAGTGACATAGCATCTGTGATGGCCATTCGGGCCCTGGATCTCGAACTGGTTCAGGACGACGGGGATCATTGAACGACCTTGAGCGGTCGTCGGACAGTTATCTGTGATGGAGCGCAAGATTTCGCCCTCGTGAGCAGAGGAATCTGCGGCGCTGACTTTGATAGCCACATAGGCTGCGCGTTGCTCGTCGCGTGAGAGCCAGATTGTAGAGAATGCCCCGTGGCCTAGCTTGTGGATCACTCGGTATCGGTTATGTAGTACGTCTCCCACGCAAACTGGATGGTATCCCCCGGGTCGATACCGTTCCAGCCTTTCCACGTCCTCAATAAGCTCATATTCGAAGGCGGATGGGTCGTAAGTCGAGGACGTGATGTATCTGAAAGGTATGAGAGATTGACTTGGACTATATCGAGGTAGACGAGGAGTAGACATGTGCGCAAGGAGGGGAGTGCGTTGATGGCAGGGGACTAGACGCCAGGCGAGTCGTCTCATCGTGGTTGCGTATTGAAGACTTCAATCATCCCAAGACATGAACCGTATCTCGCCATTCTGATGACAGTCAGTAACTTGTTGGCAATGTAAGTACTTCAAATCTAAGAGAGTTCCTGATTCCTCACATTGTATGGATGGAAGGCAACAGCAATCAAGGGGCGCCGGAAGAAATAAGAAGCGGTCTGTGCGCCCCTCCGCCATCGGGACCCACCAGCCACATTGTTCTTTCTTTCACTTTCCTTTCTCCTTCTCTCAACCTCTGGATTTGAAATCCATCCACAGCCCGGTCACAGCGATTTTTTAGTAGATACAAAATACTCTGGAGTCGGGCTTCTTTGGAACATTGCTTGGCTATCGTGGAAATCTCAATCAATATTGGGTTGGTCGACATCCACCTGCCAGTCCACGAACACGCTACGTAAAGAATACGCGTCAGTCAGTTGCTTTTGCCATACAACTAACCCAGCATGTATTAGGCATGGATCTCCCGTGTCATTAGGTAATAGCCAGGAAGGGGCTTGGGGGGGTACGTGAATATACTGAATAGGGATTATCTTAGCTCATCCTCCAACATACTGAGCAGCCACCTGCATATGGGCTACTGCGGATGGTACAATGCCAGCAGCAAGATTTCTCTCACACCTTATCGGGTAGCTATGGATATTCGTTTGCTTCCAGTGCGCCAAGCGATTGCCGAAGGTTTTTCTGAAATGATCTCGAATATGACCGGTCACCAAAATCCTCCATATCATACAAGATGCAGATAACTGATACACGATCGATGATAAACGACTATATAGCAAGTTCATAACTTTTACTCGTCATAAATCTCTCGGGAGTTAGCACATATCATCCTGGAACAACTTAACAGATCCCACCGGAAAGCTCAGCGGTACATGCCTATGAGATCAATCGAAAGTCTCCATCGGATAAGGCAGCTGAATCACTGGCTTAAGAATCTCTCTCTTCTCAAACCTCTGGTATGCGTGCGGCACCTCATCCATACTATGCAGGATCTCATCGATGACGAAGCTTGGTTTGGCCTTGCCACACTCAATCAAATCCCGCAATGGTGGCTGTAGCCGGTGTATCTCGGCTGTACCACACTTAAGAGAAAGCCCTTTCGTCCAGAGCTGTCCGACCAGAACTGATAACACACCTTGGTGGGGAGAAGCTAGTGGCATTCCCGGTGATGGACCAAGTGGGGCATATATTCCGATCAAACCTATACCACCCCCTGCTTCAGTCACTCTGATGCAGTTGTTCAACACGACATTCTCTTGTGGCTCAAGCTTGTCATTGAGACAATCAAGACCCACACAGTCACAACTACATCGTACGCCGCGCGGCTCACATGCCATAATCTGCGTAACCGGGTCTTTCTTGTTGAAATCGATGGGAACTGCACCTATTGATGCTGCTTTCTCCAGACGAGCAGGAACATAATCGACCGAGTAGACCTTGGTTGCGCCACGGAGGAGAGCCGAGTAGGCACAGAGCACACCCACCGGGCCGGCACCAAAGACGGCCACAGTATCGCCAGGTTGAAAGTTGGCGCAGTCAAGAGCGAACCAAGCCGTTGGAAAAACGTCGGAGAGAAGGATGAAGTCAAGATCAAGCTCTGTGCTCTGGGGAAGCTTGAAGCACGAGGAATCCGCAAAGGGAATGCGGATGTACTCCGCTACAGATCGTTAGTATGATGATCAGGGGGTGAAGATAATACCCACCCTGTGCGCCCTCTAAAGGTTCTCCAGGTGAAGGGCCGTAACCTATATCAATGACAGTTTGGGGACTATGCGTCATGCAAGAGGCCATTCGGCCATCATTACAGTAACCGCAGCTGGTCAGCTCAATCATGACGCGATCTCCGAGATTCAAAGTCTTTAATCCGTCTCCTGCCTCCACTATAGTCCCAATTGCTTCATGGCCCATTAACCATGGCGGGTTCTTACTGCCCAGCCGACCGCGGTAGGTATGAAGGTCCGATCCGCAGATGGCGCTGGTTGTGATTTTGATGACAACATCATTCGGGTGCTGAACTTTGGGGATTGGCATTTCTTGGACAAATACATGGAAGGGCTTGCCTTCCCAGACTGTGGCTTTCATGGTCTTTCTTTGGGTGGTTGACATTTGGGAAGTTGATGAACAAGATACTTGGTTGGTAGGTGAGTGTATCGCATCCGAGATTGACGTTTCCTGTCTATTTATACCCCCGAGAGATGCAGATTCTAGACTAGTGCTGTGATGCAACGCTGCTGCTCGCAGGTCGGACGTTTGCTGTGTCACAAAGTTGGCGCACCTAAGTTATCCGTGGTTGTCCAAGCCACTTGTTTCGTGCGGGGTTCTTCTTGTGATTCCTTCTACCGGGTTAAATACTAAAATGAGACCTCGTCTATTACCAGACGCCTTGCCAATACGTCGGTGGTTTTACATGGCCCTGGTAGTACGCCTTGCTGGAAATCTAACGACTTATCGTGCAAATACCGAGTCAAAAAACGCCTTCTGTCCAGAACATCACGCCTTTATCAGATTAATTCAATGTATTTGGGTCTTCGGTGCTGAAAGACTCAGTCCAAGACTAGGTTACTTTCATGATGCACCAATACCAGTACTTAATTATGAAGCTGGTCTGCAATTGCCAATGAGAATATCATTGATGCAATTCTATACTCTCATATACAACCACACCATTCCCAACCAAGTACATGCACCTATCTAAACCGACTAAACCGCACCAAAGTAGGCTTCTTATCCCAAAACCACCAGATGCCTTGCTCCTCCCATCGAGGCAATTCCACCCCCGGTGGAATCGACAAATCATACCTCCAAAGCAACCTCGCCAGAATCAATCTCAACTCCAACCACGCCAAATTCTGCCCGGGACAATTATGCGCTCCCAACGAGAACGGATTAAACACGCTCTTCACATCCCCTTCAAACCTCTTCCCCCCCTCCTCCTCCAACCACCTCTCCGGGGCAAACTCATCCGGAAAACAAAAATTCCTCTCATCCCGATAACTCGCCCACTGACACACCGACACGGTGGTGCCCCCAGGCAAAAACTCCCCCGCCACCACGGCTCCTCCCTCGGGAACCAACCTGCGCATTCCATCCGGAATCGTCGGACAAAGCCTCATGCCCTCACTCAACACGGCATCCAAATACGGCAAGCCCTTGACCCTCGTCCCCGTTATCTCCTCTTCAGTCCCAAACCGCCCCCTAATCTCCTCGACCAACCTCCGCATCTTCTCCGGCTCCCTTAGCAAATAATTCACCGTCCCCGTAATCACAGTAGTAATCGACTCACTCCCCGCCGCAACAATCAACATAGAATTTACCTCCATCTCCTCAACACTCATCCCCTTCATCATCACACTCACCAAATCCCCTTCCCCATCCCCCGTTCCACCCTCTCCCTCACCCTCTCCCCCGTAACCCTCCACATCTCCATAACCCCCCGTAACACCCCCGGCGGGGTAATCCTCATAACCACCCAATACAGAAACGGATAATACTTCAACGCCCCCACCACAACCGCCGCCTTAAACTGCCTCACCGTCTGAATCCACGACCCATATCTCAACCCATCCAAACACCCAAACGACCTCCCCCACGTTACCTTCCCAATCACATCAAAAGAGAGATAATTCACCCACTCCACCACATCAACATCCACATACCCTTTTCCTCCCCCGCCATCAATCCTCTCATCTATTTTCCCCTCAAAAACATCAATCAACCCCCCCACCACCCCCTCCTGCGCCCTCACCGCCTTGGCTGCAAACCCCTGCGCAAGAACCCTCCGCAGTCGGGCATGTTCCTCCTCCGAACAGGCGATTAGATTCAGGGCTGTTTTTCCGGGCGGTTGGTCTTTGAGTTGCGGTGGGCGGAGGAAGAGTCGGTCGCGGGTGTAGATGTCGTTCCAGGCAAGGGGGGAGGTGAAGGAGAGGGAGGTGGGGGAGGTGCGGATCACTGGGCCGTGGTGTTTGTGGAGGGTGTGGAGGTCGTGCGGGAGGTGGCCGAGGGTGAGGGAGAGGAGGGAGGGGAGGTCGAAGAGGCGCCAGTGGAGTGGGCCGGGGTATTTGTTTAGGGGGTGGGTGTGCAGGGTGGTTATGGTGTGGTGGGTTAGGAGCTGTTTGTTGTGGGGGTTAGTTGGGGTTCGTTTGGGGGTTGGGGGAGGGGGGAGGGGAGGGGGCTTACGAGGAGGGAGAGGAGGGTGAGGGTGAGGAGGATGGTGAAGGGGGTGAGATCGATGGATGGTATGAAGTTGAACATAGTGGTTGGGGTATAATAAGTATGGCTATGGGGGAGTTGGAAGTTGAGTAGAAAATGAGGGTGGATGAAAGGAAATGGATGGGATGGGGGGTATTTATGTATGGGGGACATTGGGTTTGATAGACTGTGTCTGTCTGATAGGTAGTAGGTACCTGATGGGGGGAACTTTAGTAATTGGCATGGGTGTAAGATTTTAGGTTGCTATGAGAGAACTTGTTATGGCGTGGGGATATGTTGTGTCCTATGTACCGCTCCATAGCACTGGATAAAGAGAACATGCCCCTATCAGAGCCTGGATATGAGGTGAGATGTAAGATCACCTCCGCATTATGGGAGTGATATCAGACCCGCAGTGGGGCAATCAGTATACTCTAACTGGCCAGTCCGGTTACAGCCACGTGGTTGAGATGGACTACTCCAGATACGGTCTAGATCATCTCTATATCTTATGCTTTCACACGGTGTTGCTCATCTAACAGTCAGACAAGGCTGAAGACATGCCTATAAAGCTCATCACCATCGCAGTCAAACTGACAGTCATCAAGTCTCTCTCATCTCGCCCATATCATCTCAATCCAATCCAACCCAACATGTCCCTCAAACCAATCAAGCTCTACTGGCGAAGTAAGGCATCCCACACACCCTCTCCGCTGCTACTAACTCCATCAGACTATGTCCCCAACCCAGCCAAAGTCCTCATCATCCTCGAAGAACTCCACCTCCCCTACGAAGCCTCATGGGTGGAACTAGAGGATCTCAAACAAAAGCCGTTTACGGATGTGAACCCCAACGGACGGGTCCCGGGTAATCCCCGACTCAGCTCATCCTAAATCCCCGCACTAATATGATGCTGTTAGCGATAATCGATCCCAATACAAACATCACCATCTGGGAATCCGGCGCTATCGTTCAGGCACGTTCCCCCCCCCCCCTTTCCACTCAGAAACTAACTATCCAATAATAGTACCTTATCGACACCTACGACAAAACCAACAAACTAACCTACACCACCCTCCCTGAAAAATACCATCTAATCCAATACTCCTACTTCCAGGCCTCAGGCCAAGGACCGTATTTTGGACAGGCGGCGTGGTACGTCCCTCCCTCCCCGCAAACCTACTCCACAAACTCTATCTAATGACAATGTGATAAATGCAGGTTCAATCTCTTTCACCAGAACATATACGGTGAATCCCCTGAATCCGCCAAAGTGCGATACGGAGCAGAAGTCAAGCGTATCGCAGGGGTGCTGAACACTATCCTGAGTGAGCGGGATTGGCTAGTAGGAGATAAATGCACGTATGCAGATTTGGCTTTTGTGATGTGGAATCTACAGATTGAGTTCTTCATGGCGGGGAGGACCGGGGAGGAGGCGTGGAGGAAGGAGGAGTTTCCGTACTTTACGAGATGGCAGGAGAGGATGTTGGAGAGGGAGGCTGTTAGAAAGGTGGTTGGGGTGTTGGGGGAGAAAGAAGTGAGGAGGACAGGGTTGTGATTTATTTGTGGTTCGGTATTTAATAGGTGGATGGATTGTTATAGTGGACTTTATGGTATTCGCTTCGACAGGCCGATCACTCGGCATGGATGGTCTGGATGAGATCCATGTCAACCACCTAGATCATTATGATTCACCCTGGTGCTTCTCGGCCCTCATTGCTTCCTCATCTATATGTGTGTGTCATATTATTTTGCTGTTACACGGGTGAGTCAGGCTGACTGCAATTACGAGAAATCCGAGTAGCCTATAAACGCATCCCCTCGCTTCTTGACCATTTCAACTGTTCCATAGTCTCTGCACCTTCCTCTTGCTTCAGAAATGGGCGAGCTCCAAAACAACCAGTTGACTGTCGATCTTGATGTCGACCACATCGCTGTTAGCCCTGGTGCCCCCGACCAGATCGTCCCCCTGGTCTTGGAGATCAACAATCTCACTCAGGCATTTACTGCCGGCCAAACTACTGCTCGGCAACAGCTGCTAGAGGTGGTTGAATCATTGTTAGCCGCGGTTGAAACCCCAAGAGAGGCGATAGGGCGACACTGTTGGCGCAGTGTAAGTCCACTATTCCAGGGATTTGAGATAGCTGACTTTTAGTCCACCGGATTTGCCGCCATCACGACAGCCATCGACCTGGGTATCTTTCGTCTGTTGGCTGAGAGTGATCAACCCAAGTCCGTTCATGAGTTGGCGCATGCCACCGGAGCGGACATCCTCCTCCTTCATACGTGACCAATACCTCTTGAGCTTCCATTCACTGATAATCTCTGCAGAACGCATCATGAAACACCTGGGAGCCATCAACGCCGTCATCGAAACCGAAAATGGCGAATATGCCTGCAACAACTTCTCCCACACTCTCGCTCATACCAAATACGCCGACTCTTTTCCAGTATTGTCAGTCACCTTCACCCCCAGCTAGACCCTAACTGAGCGATCAGCATGGACTGCTTCTATCCCACCATCTTCGCTATTCCCAAATTCCTCCAGCAGACGAATTATCGAAATCCCACCAACAACCACCACAGTCCTTTCCAACTGGGCATCCACACCACGCACACCTTCTTCGAAGCTCTCGCAGACAACCCCGTCCTGAGTGCCCAATTCAACAACCACATGTCCATCTACCACAAGGGCCGCACCAGCTGGATGGACCCGGGCTTCTACCCTGTCGACCAGCTGCAGGGTGACTGCCCGCTAGGGAAGGAAGACATATTCCTCGTCGATGTCGGAGGTGGCAAGGGCCACGATCTCAACGAGCTTTGCACCAAGTGGCCAACAATTCCAGGACGATTGATCCTGCAGGATCTGCCCGCTGTCATTGCAGAAGCAACTGATCTACATCCATCAATCGAATGCATGGCCCATGACTTTTTTACAGAGCAGCCGGTCAAGGGTTCGTCTTATCACCTTCTTCTCCGCTTGCACGGCTAATTGATGTAGGAGCCCGCGCATACTTCCTCCACTCCATCCTCCACGACTGGCCAGACGATGATTGCCTCCAGATTCTCGCCCCGCTCAAAGCAGCCATGGTACCTGGGGTCAGTCGACTCTTGATCAACGAGAACGTGGTGACGGATCACAAAGCGCCTTGGTATGTGACTTCGCTGGACTTGATCCTCATGGCGGACTTTGCGGGGACGGAGCGGACCGAGGCGCAGTGGCGAGGGCTGTTAACTGAGGCTGGATTCCGAGTGGTGAAGATTTGGACGGCGGATCGGTGGTCGGAGAGTTTGATTGAGTGTGAGGTTGAGGTGTGAGGGTAGTCGCTTCGTTCTGAGCTGTGACTTTCATTAAGTATACGTGTTGACTGTTCAATGATTTTATTTTCGCTCAAAATTCTCTTGGGAATCTGGATGTCTTTTTTTTCTTCTTCTCGTGTTCTCATTAAGAGATATTCAATTCACATTGCAATATCTTGCTTTGACACACATTGCTCCGTTCCGAATATGACCCCCATTCACTCCAGTCTTCAACAGGATGGTTATGTATCGTCAAAGCAAGCCCGGCATCAACAAGTTGTCTCGGTGGCGCAATTGGTAAGCTTCCCCTTCATTCACCAACAAATCATCCCGTCAGTCGCTAATTCAAATAACAGGTTAGCGCGTACGACTGTTAATCGTGAGGTTGAGAGTTCGATCCTCTCCCGGGACGTTTCTTTTTTTTTTTTCCCTCCCGTACCGTAGCCCGTCAGCGGGGAACCAATTGGATTGATTGGATTGGGGGATCACTTGGGATTTACGAGATTTAATTTTTCGTTCTTTTTGTGGAGTATATTATGGTTGTGTTTTCTGGAGATGTTGGTAGGGGAAGAGGAAGGCGTTACCAGCTAACGGGACATGACGGATATATATAATGTTGGGATCCCCGATGGGCTCCCACGCCGGTAGGCAACGTAGGGTCACGTGACCCTCCTCCCTACACCGCTAGTTAGTCCATATAGATGGCCTACGAGGCCCCTAGCTAGATCATCATCCATCGAATTCTACACGGTTGAATCGCCTTAGTAGCCACTCCAACATATAACCATGGAATCCCATCATCAGATATGTTCATCGTCTTAGCACTCACACAACCTGCAAACTATACCAAAAACCACAGCTGGGTGCTGGTCAATTTTGCATGTCAACACATCATACTCAAGACAAAGCCACCATGTCATCAATTCTGACCCTCTCGTCCCAGACCCCTCCCCCGAAATCCAGCTGCCCGTCTGCTAGCCTCTTCCTGCTCTCTCCTTCTACGTTTCTCCTCCACATCCTCCAAGACTTGTGGTGGTGTCCTTCCGGCAGCATTCGGCTGATCCATCGAGGCCCCAGCATCTCGCAAGATCTTGATCATATCCTCCCGTGCATTTTTCACCACCTCAGGGCAAGGCTTCTCAGTGCTCACTAATCCGCCAGTCATTTCATCCTCTCCATTCAATGTCCCCAAGGGCGGATCATGGTGCAGCAACCACAACACCATCTCTCGGTCCGCATACCTACAGGCCACATCCATGAGTGAACATTGTATACGGGCGAGGCACTTGTCCACTGGCTCGTCCATCGTCGGATCGGCCACATAAATCTCCACCATTACTCGCAGAGAGCGTAACCTTCCATACTCCGCAGCGATATCGAAAAGATGGCAGTACGATCGCTCGTATGCTATCGGGAAACCGTTCTTGTTACTATCGACGTAGCGACGCAGGGTTGCCACGTCCTCATTGTGGATAATGCTAAAAAAAAAAGGCCACCGTAGGGGGCCTCGTATAGAGGAAAGCCCTCTTCATCGCACATGACAGGAGTACGGAAATCAGGGTGAGGCCCACGAAATTCGCTGTAATCCATGTCATGGCAGATAACAGATGATAAATTGGTGCAGATGAAAATAACAGCCAAAACAGAGAAGGTAAATCAAGGGTCCTTATAGTGGGTTCAATCTTCACTAGCATCCAAACTAGTGAAATAATAATTCCTGTCTACCGTCGGACTCCGTCAAAATTCCCTCATTCCATCGTATGACTCACTCCTGGCCATGATCTTTACCCCTGCATGGTATCATCCCTGCTAATGCTTAACTGGATAGTACTACAGTAACTAACATCTTAGTTAACATGCTAAGCGCCAACCCTTATCCATTCTTGGCTTAGATGCACATGCGTATGACAAGACAAGGTCATAGCAGCGCTAGAAGAGGATCCCTGTAAGTGACCCAGCTCTAAACTGGAAACTAACTATCAAAGCTCTACAATGAACATCCACCTCGACCTCATCTCCCAGGGTTTATGGTTACATGTCCAAATGAAGTAAATCGAACACTACGTTTTATGCAACGACAGTAGTAATTTCCCCATCAGGTTGAATTCCCACGGGAATGAAATTTCATTAATTTGTTTGTCGAGCAAGACCAACTGTTTATAGATGAATCTTGTGCCGTAATGTAATCGGAAGAATCATCGTCTAATAAACAATAGTCTACAATAAAGTCTATATTATAAAGCCTCTCTCATAGGAAGACTAAAGCCACAGACTAATACTTTTCATAATACTCAACACCAATTATCCCAATCAAAGCCCCATCAGGAACCCCAAAAGGGCATGTATGCCAGAATCGAGGCACCGAGCGTGTTATTAACGAATGCGGCAAGAAAGCCAGCCACATCACCATCCTCTCAAACAAGCAACAAACTAAAATCCCGATAATCCCAAAGAACGTCTCCCTCATTTACACAGAATCCGCCAACCAATAAAACAAGTCCTTCAACCACGGAAACTACAGAACCCTCATAGCAAGGAATTGTTACTCAGCCAGCATATCAGTGAAACGATCATGTGGCGACGAACATCACAGCACCACCATCAGCACCAGTACCAGCACTATCGCCGATACCAGTAATATTGGACATGTCCGACAGATATTGCAGGTTAAATAATCTGCTATTTGCCGGTAGTCCAAGTACTTAGATTTTATGTGATTAGGTTTCTAACTTTGCCGTCTGGTTTCAGGGCATTCTGAAGAAATCCCTAATGTACTTTGAAAGAGGGGTGGTGTCATGAACCAAACAGCGTCTGTTTTTAATTGAGCCACACTGTAGTGGTTCATGCTTCGGGTTGTTTCTACCATGTGGCTCTCATCACATATTACACCGCGGAATCATCGGCATCCTGCTCATATATTGCGAGCACCTTCTGACTGGAGTCAGTATTGGCGCTCTGGCTCCGATGGAAAGACCCATGCCGTCCTTTTTCTCCTAAAGACCCCCCGATTGAGAATCTACTTAGCATTAGCACCGGGTTAGTCAATCATATCATCTTCTTCCAACTTCCACTGTGCTCCTTGACCACGTGGTGTAGGAGGACGATATAACTCTGGGATGTTGGTGTGTCATCTTGGTCAAGGCCATCGAGATATGACCTCATTGATGGTAATCTGTCTCCTATGTGCACGAGCTGTGTCCGTGGAACAAACCCACTGTAATCTGGTTACTAAAGTGCTTATTTTTCTATTTAGCCAGCTTTGCAGCAGTGCATTACTCATGGGACAATGAATCTGATTCAGCTGTTCGCTGGATGCAAAATAGTGCAGAGAGCGATTATTGTTTCATGGTCATCGGCAAGTAATCTCCCTCCTTATGGGGATAATATATGGCTGAGCAGCCATATGGGCCATATCACTGGCTTTCTTTCTGAGATGTGTCCTATTTGACATTTCCATCTTTGATCTCGTGGATTTTTAGGGCATTTGTTTCTTTTTTTTTTTAAGCCAGAGGTTTCTTTTGACTTGATCTTTTGTTTATACTGTTCTTGTGCAGTTTGTTTTTTACTTTCAAGTCTTTCCTGTTTAGGCTTCTTATGTGTGAGGGTTAATTTTTTGGTGTTATTTTCATGGTACTGGAAGTCGATGCAGGCTTAGAGAAAGCCACACTGGATGCTTGTGGAGATTTCAGTCCACTTAGATTATAAATCTGCCTGCGGTATTTAGTTCCTCAGGTGTATGAAACATGAATCTTGAATAGCTGTTCTCGAATCATGTCTGGTTGCTGTTCTCTAGCCACCTGCTTTATGGTCTGTTGACTGGGTGCATCTCAGCCCAAAAATAGGGGACCATCAGGGTTTCATTGAGAACTGTTAGGGTATAAATGCTTGTTTCTTTGGCGATGGATTTGTCATCTCGGGCCCCAGTCTCAAAAGGCCAGCATTTGCCTATTATGGATTTTATCTTAGAGTAATTTGTTGACATTGTCTGTATTTAGAAGGTTATATTTCAGACCTGGCTCGTGGATGTACTGGGGATTTGTTCTTAGGTGAGTGAGGGACTGGTAACTGCTATTCTTCCGTCTAGGTTTTGGTGAATTTCGCAGAAATTATTCAGTGTCTCTTGACGGCTGTCAAGTGTTGACTTGCTTCAATGAAATCTGAAGTAGAGATTTTCCCGGTCGTGTGTGGAGATATGGTATGGCGAGAAAATACTAGCCTCGACAATGCCTTCATGACGATATTGCTTATAAGTAAGCTGATATACCCATCTATCAAAAGTATCAGCCTGCACATACATGTCAGCCCAATCAGCCGAAGCACCGGCAGCAGGACTCGAAAGCCCACCAAGGCTTGTATACTCGGTCTGCGTTGCAGATGATTCGGGCTCAGATATAGGGGTGGCGGCATCCTTATCATCATTGTCATCCTGAGAAACCTCGTCAATGTACTTTCCTTGTCGCTGTAATCGTTCAGTATATAGTCTTCACCCTGCTCGCTCTCCGTGTCACTCTCATTATCAGAATTATCACTCTTGTTCTATGTCGCGTCGCCCAGTGTAGGTTCTGCATCTTATACCATAAAAGACAATATATCTGCACAGATCTGTCACGCTGTTAAACTATGGAGTGGCTGATATGATCCACACGTGAGCGGCATCCAAGGTAGTGATGGCCTGATAAAGCCTGGTATGGTGTTAATTGTCTTGACGAAATGGCCCTCATCACATGCCACGCGCGCAAGATACCCAGACTGGGCATTTGACCTCTACTACCTTTGCCTTGGCCAGCTGCTCACTCGATACTTCTCCTATTATCTCCTCGTTTTTATTGAGAGCCGGCTTGGCTTTGGACGACTATAGGCAAGGTTGGATGGGGTTATGGCCCCTCCTCCCCCCTAACTTGACACGTTCCATCTGGATTACGAGCATCCCTGGAGATCATTGAAGCTCTTCTTCTTGAATCTCCTGTACTGTTGTTTAGGCTTAAAAGCCTGAGTTGTTGTCCCTGACTATATCGTTATAAATATATGCACGGAATGATTTGTTTCATTCCTGAATCATCACATGGTATTCCTGATACTTCAAGTATAGAGGTTATTTATATACCTCGTAGTAAACGTAAAACGATCCTAATGCCATGTGGATTATTCAGATGAGAATATATCAGTATGAACGTATTGTTCTGCTCGTAATGTGTCCTAGTTGCCATGTGGCCATAGCGGCAGTTCCACCTAAAGGATATATCCAAGATCTGTTTCGAAGACTTGATTGGTAGGGCTCACAGGTGATAGACAGAATGACTGTGTTGCCTGATTCCTGTCAACTCTGAAAGAAGGGATTGCTGGTTCGCAGAGATAGAACAGAACCATTCCAATAAAGGGATTAAAATAGAAGACTTGTTTGGTTGTTGTCTTCTGTATATGCATGACTTCAGTCAACATTTCCGATACAAGGGAACGGTTAGAACACGTCATCACGAGTTCATGATAATGTCGATGATCAGTTTTCCTCCGCGAACAATTCATGCTCAGTCCAACTGGATTAACGGGGGTTGATTTCGAGAAACTCCGTCGCTGTAGCTGACGATATCACTAGTTGATTGGTAATAAGTGACTAGGTTAATTTAGCCAACGGTTGTAATAGTCAAGTTAGTTGTACAACTGCTGGATATGCTGTTGTTGAATAATAGTTGTTGGCCAGGGTTTGCATGGCAGTATGTCATTCATAATCCTCTGGAAAATGACTCATGCTGAAGTTTGGGCTATTCCAATGAGTCGAGCCGTGGAAGACTATGGCAAAAGGTCTGAAACGGGTCCTTCAACCCTGCGAGCGATACGAAGACCTGGAATTGATCTTTGATCATATAACCCCGTATGATGACTCTTATGAAGAATATTTCTGCCGAATCAGAGGGATTTTCCACGACGTGCTGAAAGAGAAAATCTGGTAGTTAGGATGACCCATCTCTATGTGCGTGGTCCCATTTTTGATTTCGGCTAAGATTGGAATCTCCTTCTTTCCAATCGAGATTTCCATTTGTCCAATACGTGTTATGCCAACAATGACATCTCATTGATCCTTGATACTTGACGGTATCTAGTAACCTTCTCACGGAGGCAGTATCAATGCTGCGTTCCTATTTATCGATGCATGTGTAGGAACGGAGGACAGCTTGGATAGAGTCATGATAGCTGTTTGGGTGGACTATTGTCACCGATTCTCTTGGGCTGTTTATAGAAACCGGGCTCTTCGTTTCGGGCTGCTCATCATGGTATATGCTGGGTGATGTATCAAACTGATAGGATTTTTTGTCTGGTATGCTCTTTCTTGTTGTTTGTAGATGCGATACATTATATGCATCATACATAGAAACGGTGAGATATTGCTGTCTTATTCTTGTACATTGATGCTGTTAAAGGAATTGAATGTATTGAAGAATTTGCTTCCATCATGGATTTTCATTTCAAGCAGGTTGATTCTGTGGAGGTATGAGAATGTGGAGAAGGAAGGGATCTTCAGAAGGTCAGGGGGGTTTATATTTCTTATAGGAAAGATCAGTGATAATCAATATTCACCCATATATCCATTCATCTTGTCGCAGGTAATTGTTGAACAACCAATTAATCCAGGGAATAACTGTAAATTCAATTCAGAGCCAATTATAGGAGTATCTATCTAATCACTAACGGCTAGATCCTGCTAAAAATAGCACATTTTAGTCCAATCAAATTGCTTATATTCTGACGTGTCGAACCACGCGTCTCCGACCCGCTCGGTCTGCATGGGGCCACCCCAGCCTCCCGATGAACCGACTCTTGCAGCCACCACAGTTGTACCTCACACCTTGACCAAATCGTCATGATGCAGTCTGCCGACGCACTCCGAGAGAAACATCCGGTTCTTTCCTCTCGCCAGATCGAAGGCTTAATCGCTGCCGGACAGCACATTCTCATCATCCACCAGAAGGTGATACGTGTCGATTCGTGGATTCCGTACCATCCCGGGGGTCACAAACCGATCCAACATCTGGTCGGCAAGGATGCCACGGATGAATTCACCGTGTAAGTAGGGATACTCCTCAATAGTGTATAACTGACTGGTGCAGATTCCATTCAGAGGAAACGCAAAGATTGATAGATCGGTACCAGATCGGCCGGATTGAGGGCCGATGGCGAAACTTTGTGCCTCCCATCCAGGGTGGCCAGTTTCGTCCATATGAGGACTCACTCTCAGACAGCAAACAAACCTCTACCCCTGGAAGCCAGGGCCCAGATACAGACAATCGTCTCGACCCCGTGCTGCAAGCAGCAACCGACCTCAACTCCCCCGAGACAATGACCTTCCTAGACAGCGAAACCAAAAAAGAAATCAGCCTAACCCTAACTCACTACCCCCCACTCGACGAAACCACCCAAAGCGACATTATCAAAAAATACCACCTTCTCCACGAACAAATCCAATCCGAAGGTCTCTACAACTGCAACTACCTCGCCTACGCCAAAGAATTCGCCCGCTGCTCCCTCATCTTCACCACCATGCTCTTCTTCCTGCACATCGAATGGTACATCACCAGCGCGCTCTTCCTCGGCTTCTTCTGGTCCCAATTAGTCTTCGCTGCCCACGACGCCGGCCACATGGCCATCACCCACAACTTCACCATCGACAGTCTCATCGGAATGACCATCGCCGCCCCCATCGGCGGTCTCTCCCTCGGCTGGTGGAAACGCACCCACAACGTCCACCACACCGTCACCAACCTCCCCGAACACGACCCGGACAACCAACACCTCCCTTTCTTCGCCGTCAATCACCGTTTCCTCGGAAACCTCTTCTCCAGCTACCACGAACGCCTCATGCCCTACACCAACGCCGCCCGCTTCCTCGTCGCCTACCAAGCTTACCTCTACTACCCGGTGCTCATGTTCGGACGCTTCAACCTCTACATCCAATCCTGGATTTTCCTCCTGCAAGGCCAAGGACCCCGTAAGGGCCTCGCCTGGTGGCACCGCTGGTACGAAATCGCCGGTAACATCCTCTTCTGGACCTGGTTCGGCTACGGCATCGTCTACTCTTCCATTCCCACCGCTTGGAACCGCTTCGTCTTCGTAATGGTCAGCCATATGGTCACCATGCCACTCCACGTACAGTTCACTCTCTCCCACTTCGCCATGTCAACTATGGATCTTGGTCCCGGGGAGTCCTTCGCTCAACGCATGCTTAGAACAACAATGGACGTGGATTGTCCTGAATTGTTGGATTTTATTCATGGGGGGTTGCAGTTCCAGGCTATTCATCATTTGTTTCCCCGCGTGCCGAGACATAATCTGCGGAGGACGCAGAAACTCGTCCTGCGGTTTTGTCAAGACGTGGGTATCCCGTATGCGCTTTATGGGTTTGTGGGGGGGAATAGGAAGGTCGTGGGGAGTTTGGCGGAGGTTAGTAGACAGGCTGCTATTTTGGCCAAGTGTCAGAGGACGGTTGCGGAGAGGGGGGATTTGTTGTATGGGCATTGAGTTGGGAGGGGTGGGTGGATGGATTTGTTGAAGTGGATTAAATCGTGGGATGTTAGTTAGGGGTAAAGATGTACTTAGTTAGAATAGAGCTGAGCCATGATCAAGGGACTATTCATAGTCCGATGTACTAGACAAGGTTCAAATCCACGAGTTGTATTCTCTTCAAGATAAATAGTTAGACTACCATTCATTAGCTCTTCTCTATCATCCCAATTCAACCAAAGCCCTATCAATCTAATAATACACTACCTACCTATCCCCCCCCTCTCCATCCACAAACTCATAACCAACCCCCTCCTCTCCCTAAACATTGCCACCGTCTCCTCACTCTCCACCGGAACCAAATGCTCATCCCCATTAGCAATCAACGCCTCCACCAACGTCGCCCGTCCCGTATGCACAAACCCCAGCCTCCGATACAACGCAATCGTCACATCATTCCCCGCCTTCACAATAAGCCTGACCTGAATCCTTGGTGCTACCCCATCTCGACTACTCAGCCAATCCAGCGCCGCCTGGCACAATTTCCCCCCTAGGCCCTGGCCACGGTGCTCTGGAAGCGTAAACAAACTAAGCATCTGCCAGCGCTCTTCCTTGTCGTCGCTCCGTTGCGCCGGTTGGCCTGCTTCGGGGGGGAGTTCGAAGGCAGTGGCGGAGGATGGGCCACGGAGAGTAACTTGGCCGATCCATTCGTTGGTGGTTATGCTGCTAGTGGTGGTGGTGGCGGCGCAAATAAAGACTTCACGATCGGGGACGGTGAGACGATCGATCCAGTCTGTCTCGGTGAATGCGGATTCGATTTCGTATGTGGATGAGAAGGACCTCGGGGAGAGGGTTAGGGCTTGGAGGCGGAGGGATCGGTATTTTTGGGCGGAGGTGTGGATGGAATCGGTTTTGGGGATTCGGAAGAAAGTATATGTGGATTGGGAGGAAGACATTTTGATTGAAGGGTATGTTGTTGGGTTTGTTTGGATTGGGCTTTGGATTAGATTGGCATTGTATGGATTGTGGAGGAGTATTTATGTGTGGTGGTGGTGATAGTGGAGCTGGGATCTTCGTGAGTCACAGCGGGCCGTCGGGACGAGTCATAGTATTCCCGCGCTGCTGGGGGTAGAAGATTGGGGTTTTTTTGGGATATGAGTCATGTTGTGTTTTGTATGGGGTTGCATGGGTTGATTCTTTTGATTATGATTGATATGTCCTGGTGCATAGGATAGGGTTGGGAAAGATGATTGGAGGGGGTGTCTAAGATGAAGAGGTTTTGTTTGTGGTTCTGGTGGGTTTGGGGTTGAGGTTGTGAAGTGGTTGAGAGGGATGGTATTGCCTATTGAACGGATTCATAGGGAGGGTTTCATTGACATTGAGTGGAATCTGAAATTATGGAAATGATAGTATCTAGGGGTGTAAATTTTCCAATATTGTGTGAGAAGAGGTCACGATCCGATCTTAGTGCGCTATAAGATACGATCGTACCATTGATGCAAATGAGAACCAACTTGGCCATCTGGCAAAAGACTAGAACTCTTAGCTCAGTGCTTATAACACACATCACTTATGAGTTTACTTAGGAGGTACCACCGCAGGCAGAGATGTGAGTCATCACACTAAGAGCAAATGCAAGAGATTAGATGCAATAAACTTGAATAAAATACATCCTATTAAAGGTATCAACTGAATGTGCATAAAATAATCAATCGCATGGTTACGAAACAACACTGATCAACAACAAAAGTAATTTCCAGTGCATAAGGCTGGCATAACACCCGGTTTTTCCCGGCTAGTATGTTCTGCCGTCGCAATTTGCGGGTCGAGTGATAGACTGGCCTGGGACAGATCGGTATTTTTCAAAAGGTCATGGGGCAACAATCCCGAGGCAACAATGGGATCACGAGTCATGCTGGCAGCACTCCAGTCAAGCGAACAACCAAGTAACTTTTGATCTAAAGCGCCAGATCTACCAATGATAGTTCAATCCGCCTCTTTGCTTGGTTGGGTCCGTGCCCGTCGGAGAAAATGGCGGGTAGGTATCTAGTACTACTGCTCAGTACTCAGGGGTAATTAAGCGGGAGCAGGGCGCATGGCCAGAGGGTGCACAAGTGGATAAGAAGCAAATTTGGGGACAGGTGCTTCAAACGGACTCGATTTGTGATTTAATATTGGTTCATGTTGATAAATAGGCCCACCTTTCATGTACGGACCGATTAAGTATGCGGAGTAAGCAAGGCTGAACATCCTGCAGCTAGGTAATACCCAGTGGTTAGTCAATATACTAAGCTCCCTGGAAGAGTGATCTGCTTCCTCTCACAAGGCCGAGCAATCTAAGTGGCACACGAAATCTATGCAAGCTTTAGGAAGCTGCGGTGAGCAAGGATGGCAACGATAGGTAAAATGGTTGATTCAGCATAGCCTGACCCAAGCTGGAAGCAAAACAATGCCATGGTTGTGACAAGGGATTCACATCGATATGGTTTACACTGCTATAATCGCCATCTAGCTGGCTTTTAAGGCAGATTCTCTATCCCCAACAACTACCACCTACCAGGATCCGCAATCCGATCAGTCTCGAATCTTGTTGTTACGACAACTCATCGGTTTTCATTGGAAGACATCTTTAGACAAGGCCCCGATGGTGATCCCAAATCCAGCGAGATGCAGTTGGTAGTGCACTTTGCTATGGATTTCTTCGGCCATACCCTTCTCGAACGTTGAGGTTGGGACAGCGGTAGATATTGACTTTTTTTTACTTTCCCATTCAAGCCTGCTGCAGGAGTTATCGTGATCATGGGTGTCTTCACCTGGGGCAAATATCCTGTGATGAGTTCTGCATTAGGTAGGTTGACACAGAGGTTGGGCTGGCTTGAGAGCTACTGCTTCCTGTCTTCCAGACCATGCATGGGAGGCCTAGAAAGTTGCAGGTGGAAGCCCAGCATACGTCCTCGGGTATCTGTTGTATATGTATAATCTCTGGTCTGAGATTACAAAATTGCTGAATTTGATTAAGGCCAGGCTGACCGCAAGGCTCTGTTCAAAAACAACGTCACGTACCTGAATCATGACTCATGGGTTAGCGCCTAGTCTCATTGGGGCGAAGCGCCGTCGCCCGGGAGATTGTCTGCCTACAGCCTTGCGATTAACAATGCTGCCTTCCTCCACTGGTCTACAACTGACAGTCCATGGCTATTTTCCAGATCGCTGTGTTTACAAGCTCTGACATTCTGTCGGTGATTTTTGTAGAGCTTTTTCACATTTATAAGAACCTTAATATGCTGAGTCAGATGGACAAATTGCAGTGAGAGCAAAACCCAGATATAAAAAAACAGGGACTATCTACAATACATCCTGTTTTCAAAAGTTTTCCCAGACTGTCAGTGTGCTAGACAGATCGTTCTTGCCTGGAGTATGTTTGTAGTAACGCCCGACACGCTTTCCGACCGCGGTGGAAATACTTCCTCTTCACATGCCTAAAACGAGCTGTATAGCACAATCAAATAAATATCAGAGTCGATACATCATTTCTGCCTTGAGAAATCCCTGTCTCTGTGCGCTTTGGGCACGACACCCCCCTGCCAATTTGGCGGTGTACCTGATCTAGCCCTGACATTGACGTTTTGAGTTTGACAATACACTAAGATATGTCAACTGTGGAACATCTAATCACTACGAGCAGGACATGAAGCACCGCACTATCCGACACGTCTACTTGTCCTATCTGTTTATCTCCCTTTACTCTCCCAGAAGGTATAAAAGCGACATCGCTCTTTTGTCTCAAGTGATTCTTTCATCTTCATCATCCATCCCCTCAATATGGGTTGGCCGTCATCTGAAGCAAGCAGCTTTCTTACCATGCTTCTCACCATTCCTACGGCCCTTGCGGCAATCTTGGAGATCTTTCTCCGGCCCGGTGATGGCAAGTTCTCCATATCATTGAGCGATTACGTGGACTGACAGGAATAGAGTTCAAAGGTAGACAACAGCCGGGTAATGTGGAGATTATATGCAGTGGCACTTTCAACTCGCCAGTTCAGATTTCGGCGCGTATGTGGAGCAAGAAATTATTGATTGAGATATTTGCTAATGGTGGCAGCATTGTTGCATTCACAGAATATCGGCCACGAGAGGTTTTCGCCGTCTGCTATATTTGCTGCTGAGCCTTGAATGCTCTGCAGGATTGCGAAGAGAATATACATTTGATGAGAAAGAGTTATCTCTGATCGCACAGTATGTTTGAGATGGGAGTCATGGATGTACATTGATGCGGAATGTTTGATTTTCTGTGTTATTGCTCGATATAGCAAAGGGGTGGAGGGTTGAGTGAATTGAGATAAGTTAGTTATTTTTACAGAGGTATCCCTTTTTCTGAGGCATTCTTTATACACTGCGTTTCATTACTAACTACTTGGCGTAGAATTTCAGCCATGCATAAAGCTCAAAAATAACGACAGGTTGAGTTCTCTGATTGAAAATCATAAGCATCACTGTGAAAGTCGTAAGAGTTTCACTTGCATTAGAGCTCAACTTGCTGCAAGCCAAATATGGTGTGGCATGAGCTATGTGGCTGCCTGGTGTGGCGCTCTCCTTGGGCACCTCTGCCAAGCCTGCGCAACACTTTGGTCAAGATTACTCCATATCTCGCTTGTGGATCACATGTGCAGGAACAATCCTGTGAAACAATTAGTAACATGACTCAATGTCCATAGCTTTGATTGGTCTCACACCCACTACTCCTTTACCCCCTATGGTGTGCATCCACCTCGGACAACGTCCTGCTACTCACTGCTGCCCAGATGAGCACGTGCTCAGTACCATCAGCCCTATCGAGATATACGTCCACGTGCCCAACACCACGCATGCCTCAGTCCACTCGGAGATCCGTACGGCTAGGCCGAGCACCAGTCAAAGAATGCTTGGTATCAACGTGGATGAAAGGACGGCCCTCATAAGCAACACGGGATCCATGGATCCACGCACGTGGAATGGTGGACTGTCCTGATTGGCTCGGCTTCACTAAGCTTGTTCATATCCACCAATCACATTGGCTACTGATAACCAGGATGGCTGCCGTCGCGGGCAGCCGCTGATTGGCCAATGAGGTTGCATGCGCATGCAACGCCCGCCACGAGTCGTATTAAATCCTGCTCTCGTGCTCAGCTGTACCTAGTTTTTCATCCATCTTGTTTCTTCTGTGCCATCGAAATGTCGACGGAAAACGCGTGGAAAGAGTCCCATCCTAAGGATGTTGGCGGCCTGCAGACTGTCCAGGCGGTTGACACCGAGGTCGCTGACTCGGAGTCCAGCAAGCGGCAGAGTCTCTCGGATTATTTGACCATCGTGAGTGCTGTCGGTCCTTGGCACAGGCTGGACTTTCTGACATTATCAGGTCGCCAGTGGTTTTGCCATGATCAGTGATGGCTACCAGAACAACCTCATGTACTTACCCCGCTGCGATAGCCATGCGCCGCTAACAGTTCAGGACAATGGCCAACGTTCTTCTCAAGGCGGAATACCCTAAGCAATACGTCTCTGCTGTTTCCACCCGCGTGTCCAATGCCTTGCTCGTCGGAGAAATTATCGGTCAGATTGTGATCGGGTATGCCACCACCCTAACTTCTAAGGATTCGCTAATAATCACAGTCTGACCTGCGACTACATCGGTCGTAAAGCAGCCATGGTATTCACCACTCTAATGATCGTGGTCGGCGGTATCCTGGCCACCGCATCGCACGGCATCACCATCGAGGGCATGTTCTGGATGCTGACAGTATCCCGCGGCATTATCGGTTTCGGTAAGTTACCCCCTCCTCCTATCAACCATCATACTAACCTCATAGGAACCGGCGGCGAATACCCCGCCTCATCCGTCTCCGCCTCCGAAACGGCCAACGACCTAGCCCTAGAGAAGCGCGGCCCCGCCTTCATCATGGTGACTAACTTCCCTCTATCCTTCGGCGGCCCATTCGCCGTTCTCGTATTCCTGATCGTCTTCTCCGCCTGCCACCAATCCCACTACAGCACCGTCTGGCGCGTCTGCTTCGGCATCGGATGCATCTGGCCTCTGTCCGTCTTTTACTTCCGCTGGCGCATGCTAAACTCGGCTCTCTACCGCCGCGGCGCTATCAAAAAACAAGTCCCCTACGGTCTAGTCATTCGCTATTACTGGAAGTCACTTATCGGCACATGCGGTGCCTGGTTCCTCTACGGTACCCCCCATCCCTCCCTCCCCACGAACCCCAACGCTAATAAACTATATCAGACTTTGTCACCTTCCCCAACGGCGTCTTCTCCGCAACCATCATCTCCTCCGTCGTGAAGGACTCCTCCATCCTCCGCACCGCCGAATGGCAACTCCTCCTCGGCGCGATCTCCCTACCCGGCGTCTTCCTCGGCGCCATCCTGTGCAACAAACTCGGCCGCAAAAACATCATGATGCTCGGATTCGGCGGCTATCTTATCTTCGGGCTCATCATCGGCTGCGCCTACGACAAAATCACCAAAATCATTCCTCTTTTCGTAGTATTCTACGGCCTCATGCAGAGTTCGGGGAACTTTGGGCCGGGGAACATGCTCGGTTTGCTTTCTTCGGAGTTATATGCTACGGGTGTGAGAGGGACTTGTTATGGGTTGTCGGCGGCGGTGGGGAAGGCGGGGGGTGCGATTGGGACGCAGGCGTTTACTCCCATTGAGAATAATTTGGGGAAGAGGTGGACGTTTATTATTGCGGCGATTTGTGGGATTGTGGGGATTTTGGTGACGTATTTTTTTGTGGAGGATATTGATGGTGGGGATTTGCGGGTTAGGGATGAGAGGTTTAGGGAGTTTTTGAGGGCGAAGGGGTGGAAGGGGGATATGGGGGATGGGGAGGGTGATGATGTGGTGGCGATTCCTCGGGAGAAGTAAGATGGTTGGGATTTATGGGTTGGTGTTATATAATGTTTTAATAATTGTGCTGGTGTGTTTGGGATTGAGACGCGTACCGCGTGCATAGATAGTCTCTAATGAATGAAGATAACCCTCCCTTGTCCTACAGTCTCAAGTACGATCCTACAATCCTACAATCCCCATCCCACCTCCCCTCGGAATCCTATTCCAGTCTACCACCTAATTAATTAGCCTGGAACCCTTTCCCATCCCTACCACCCCTGGAATGCACGGTAAAACATCCTGTCCTACCCACCCTGCATCCGGACCCACCATCACATCCCTAGATAGGTAATCGAGCATAGCTCAATCGGAATTATCCCAAATCCCAAGTGAGTCATAATGCAGCGGATAATGCAGGTGGATTTAAGCCCGGGTTTCTGACTGGTGGTGGGTATTGGTTTCCTGCCACTGTAGTTATGTAGATGGTTTCTTTTTTCATATGGGCGTGTGATAACATCCCTGATATAGTTATATCTAGGGTGCGGAAGTATCTGAGGAGTTACACAAGGGTGTGTATGTACGTAGTTGGTAGTACTTAGGTAGATATAAAGCCCGTTCTCCGCTTCTGGGCATTGGATTGGTTCATCTGCCTTCTTAGTCTTTTTCGTTTGGGTATCATCATCATCATCATCGCCATTATTCATCGGCAAGGCAGCACAATGAAAATGAAACCCCCCACCACAACCACCCTCTCAATCATCCTCCCCCTCCTCCCCCTCACAACCGCAACCGCAACCGGAACAGGAGCAAAATGCTACGCCCCCGACGGCACCCTCGTCCCCAACACCATCTACCAACCCTGCATCTCCATCTCCGGCGTGCATTCAATGTGTTGTCGTCTGAACGCCGCAAACCCCGAGTCTTGTGATCCGTCCGGTCTATGCTTATCCACAGCCCAATCTACCAGCACCGGCACAACGAGCACAACCTACTACCGAGAATTCTGCACCGATTCGTCCTGGAACTCTACAAATTGCCTTTCAAGAGATATATGTAGTAGTAGGGTATATACCCCCTGCCTTTCCTTACCTACAATTACCCATCCTATTTCAGGCAAGCTAACATAAACGAATGTGATATAGAACGGGGGCAACTCCAACTGGAGTAACCAACTCACGCCCTGCGGGAATTCTCTCTGGTGTTGTGGGAGTACCAATGCGTGTTGTTCCTCCGGGGCGGCGTTTAAGTTGAATCGAACGTTGATTGATTTCTTGGATGAAAGTGCGAGTGGAAGTGGTAGTGCCACTGCCTCGGTCAGTACAGTTACTGTTGTTCCGACGGGGGAAGGGGTCAGTAAGGGCATGGAGGAGATGGATGGGGGGTTGTCACATAAGGCGAAGATTGGGGTTGGGGTGGGTGTTGCCCTTGGAGGGTTGGTGTTGGGGTTGGTGGGGGTCGGGGTTGGGTTTTTCTGGGGGAGGAAGAGGAATCAGGGGGGTGGGGATGGGGTTGGGGATGAGGGGAGAGGGAGGGGAGTGTGAGGTTGGAGAAGCCGAAGGGGGTTATTGGTGGTGGTGGTGCTGCTGGAGATGGTGGGGATGAGGATGGGAATGGGAGTGTTAGTAGTAAGACGCCTTGTTTGGAGGTTGTGAGGTGTGGGTAGTTGTTTTGTTTTGGGGTGGTTTGGGGATGGGGCTGAGGGTATTGTTGGGATCCGTGAGTGTATCAATATTGTGTATTTATTATTGTGTCTAGTTTGATTTATACCTCTAAGTGTTTTTTGGGATATCTGGTTGAATAATTGCAGGGCTACGGGGAAAAGACATGGCAGTGTGAGCGCAGATAAGCAGCCAGGCACCCAAAGATAACTGAGCCAATCACATCGTACAATCAAAGTGGAGTTTCCATGCAATGCAAAAAGAAGAAAAAGAATGGGGCAAGCCGGGCTTGAACCGGCCACCTCCAGATCTTCAGTCTGACGCGCTCCCAGATGCGCCATTGCCCCTTTTGTTGAAGATCGGCT